AAAAAAAAAAAAAAAAAAAAAAAAAAAAAAAAAAAAAAAAAAAAAAAAAAAAAAAAGAGGTAATGAATTTAGAAGGGGGTGTTGGACAAGTGTGAGCCAGTCTTCAATGTTCAGGATGAGCATGTCCGTGAAAATGTGGGAGAACACAAATGAAAGGTCTCTACTTACCTACTACGCCCTCCTTCCCATCAAATTACGTTTCTTTTTCTCTCTCTCTTTCCAACATTGTGCTTATCTTAAACTAAAGAAACATTACAAAAAAGGAAAAAAACGAAGGAAAAACTTGGATTACAATACAAAAAGACAAGACGCCTCCGTTTTCAAAAAGAGCCTCTTTTGCTTTTCCACTCTTATCTGCTCCATCTACTGCTTTGTGTCTGTATTTTCAAAGGGTTTGAATTAGAAGCAGGTATTAGTGGAGGAGGGCGGACTGGTTCTTTCTGTTCTTCCCCCCTTCTTTTTTAATCTATTTATTTTATTATATTCTTTATTCCCTTCTCTTTGTTTCTCAACACTTCTAGAAGCAACTCCCACCTTTCTTTCTCCCTTCTTCTTCTTTTTAAAAAGGGCCCTTACTATTATTATTATTGTTACAGGAACTGGGAAAAGAAGGGTTCCATTCCATTCCGTTCCGTTCCATTATAATTGCAATCTGGGTTCAACTGTTGTTCCCATTTGTGGTTATGATCCATTTCTTCCCTCCATTCCGTCATGGAATTTGACAGGCCCCTTCCCTCCATCTCCGGATTCTACTGCTGGGGTTGGGAATTCCTCACCGCTCTTCTTCTCTTCAGCCATCTCATCGTCTTCTGACTCTCTTCATCGGCTGTTTCTCTTTCTTCCTATTACAATATTGCTTTTAGCTCCCCTGTTTCTTCCCATCAATGGCACAGAGGTCCCTCCCGGCGCCCTTTCTCACCAAGACCTACCAGCTCGTCGACGATCCTGCCACCGACGACGTCGTTTCCTGGAACCAATCTGGCGCTACCTTCATCGTCTGGAAGACCGCCGATTTCGCCAGAGATTTGCTTCCCACTTATTTCAAACACAACAACTTCTCTAGCTTTGTCCGTCAGCTTAACACTTACGTAAGCCAACCCACCGCTCTCTCCAAATTTAATCATGCAATTAATTTGCTCCCTCTTTTAGTTTATCAAATACAAACAACTAATATTAGTTTTGTAATTGATTCAATTTCTTATTTACCCCTTGGATTCACACCCTTGTTGGTGTTCTTGTTCATCTTTTTTAATTTGTTTAGATGAACTATTGGTTTCTGCATTTTTACAACCACAGGATCACATGAATTTAGTCCAGGAATGATAGCGTAGAAAAGTCGTGAATTTCACACCGTCCAGATGCCTCTAGAGACTTCTTCACACATATTTTATATTGTTCAATTTTTAAAGCCACGTGTTGGATTATTCTTTGTTTTTCTCCCACTCCCACGAAATTGCCGCATGTCTTCATCCGTATACCGAATCTTTATCAATTCATTAATTTAATTAATTGATTTTGGGTTATCCCTAATCCAGGGGTTCCGGAAGATAGTACCGGACAAATGGGAATTCGCCAACGACAATTTCCGACGGGGCCACAAGGAGCTCCTATCCAAAATCCGTCGCCGAAAGACGGTCGTGATGTCGCAACCGTTGCAGACTGCTCATCCCGGTAAATTCGGCGGAGGAGGCAACCCTTCGCCGTCAAACTCCGGGGAGGATATCGGATCGACTTCGACTTCATCGCCGGATTCGAAGAATCCGGGATCGGTGGAGATGGGAACGATGGCACAATTCGCCGATCTGACTGAGGAGAACGAGAAATTAAGAAAGGACAACGAGATGCTGAATTCGGAGCTGGCACAGACGAAGAAACAGTGTGACGAGCTGGTAGTCTTTCTGACGGACTATTTGAAGGTGGCGCCGGATCAGATCAACAACATCATGAGGAATCGTGGTTCGGGCGCAGATCTGAAAGGCAAGGGTAAGATCGACGAGGAGGAGGAGGAAGATGAAGAAGAAGAAGAAGAAGAAGAAGAGGGGAGTGTAGGTAACGGCGGCGAAACTCTGAAGCTGTTTGGAGTTTGGTTGAAAGGGAAGGAGGAGAAGAAGAAGATGAAAAGGGTGAGAGAGGAGAAAATAGGGTGCAGCAACGCACCACATGCGAAAGCAATGAAGTCGGTTGAGATGCACGCGCCGTTGATGACGAGCAGCAATCTCTGCAACTGACGACGACCGAGCACAGCAACGGAAGGAGACGACGGCGTTCGTAGAATTAAACTAATAATAATAATAATATATTATATAATCTGTAGAGAGTTCAAAGGGACTAGATAACAATATCGGTTTTGATACTGATATTGATGTTGATTTTAGTAATATGTAAAAATTGTTATATTGTAGGAAGTAGAGGGAGATGCATGTAAGCAAGGGTGGATATCGTCAAAGGTACTAAGGGTATCCCATCCCATCTCTTGATTCAAAACATATTTGCAATGTTTCAACAATCCTTTCAATTATCGCCAATATTTGTCAACATATTGACACATCAAAGTGTAGTTTGATTTTTTTTATTAAAAAGAAAAAAGGAAATTGATTCAGTGTCTAGTGTGCAAGGGCAGTGAGGCCTAGACAAAGTTCGTTTCCTCACACCTGTGGTTTCCAAGCCTGTTTAAATCGCACTTGTTTCAATGAACAATGCACGACATCCGTTCCATCATCTTCTCGTCTCTTCCATGCTCTCTAAAAATGGTGCATTCATTCAAACACCCACATTTTATCGACATCGATGTCTGTCTACATTTGTATAGAAACTGACACCCAGAAAGAATTTCTATCGAGCATCAACAATATTTTAAAGCAGCAGAAAAGAGAAGAGAAGAGAATGAAATCAAATGGAAGTGGACATTCAAGGGAGCAGAGCAGAGGCCTTGGGGCAAATGAGCTGCTGATAGTCGAGACCCAAGGGGGGTCTGTCGCAAGGGTGTGGTTAAGCACTTTCGACACGACCAAGCAAGCCGCCAGGGCTTATGACAGAGATGCAATCGAGTTCCGTGGAGATAAGGCCAGGCCCACCGTGGGTCCGGTAACCCAATTTGGAAATCCAGAAATGACGGCGCTTTCACGGAAACCTGGCCAAAAACAACAACTTACAGTTTATAGGTATGCTACAATCAAAGAGAGTTTTTGAACTTGGCCATCCAGCCTTAGCTTAATAGATTTAGATGCATAAGAATCTAAGATAGAAAGACAACTTAAGAAGTAGAAAAAATGACTTCAAAATTAAGCGAAAGTTCCCACCAATTTGATCATTTGATAGCATGGCAGATATTACCTTAAAAATCAGCAATATGAGTACATCAGTCCCAATAAATAATAAACTTTCTTCTTTTTTTGAAACCGACTAAAACTTCATATCATGATAGACGACTGTCCCATGTCCCGGCACGTAACTTGGACGAATGAAATCAAATTATCCCTTTAGTCTGGAATGGCAGCCCAATCAAACTGCAGTAGCAGTCACCACCAAAGTTCATCGGCCATTCATCCATAGTGGATGGGTCTCTACAGACTGACTAATTCCAACACACTTTACTAACGGAACATGAACACAAAAACAAAAAACAAAAACAAAAAACCAACCAAAACTTTGATTTCTGGACTGAAAACAATCCGTTCAATGCAAATCCGAAATCTAGGCAAGCTCCCTTTCTAGACTCTGAGATTCCCGCTTGATGGTTGCTTGGCCACATAAATTTGCTTCATTTTTGCAGAGGAAAAGTTCTTTTCAGCTCCAGACTGGTTTCTTCCCATGAACCCTGTTCTACGGTGGGGCCATTCGCTGCCACCTGAACTATTCTTTTGAGAAGCACCACCTCTCTGATAATTGTATCCAGAAGAATGACTGTACTGCTGGGCGGGTATGCCCTTATGCTGAGGCGACTGAGATTTTAAATTGGTGCCTGCATTCAGGCTACTGTTGCTGCTACTGCAATTCTGAACAGTCTTGCCAGCATCAGTAACCGAGTTCACCGATAAGCTCTTAATGTCAACATTTGGTACTGAACCCCCAGAACTGACGCAACTCGAAGCATCAACTATTCCAAGTTCATCTGGAAGTTGGGTGACAGTTGCATCGGCTGCCACAGTATAATTACGCTTGTGGTCAGAGGCTACAGAAGGTTGTGATCCAGGAAACCTATTAACTGTAAATGAAGGGTCAGCAGATGATGCATGACTGAAATGCGAGGGAAGAATGCCCTCTGCCTGCTGCTGCAAAGGCATGGACAGCGGCACAGGCTGAACAGAGGATGCTGAAGAAGGCCAACGAGCTTGGACAGACATTTCAGGAGAGGCCTGCAAATATTAAGCAGCAAACCATCAAGAACATTTTGTAGCAGAAAAAAAGCAATTGATTAGCACAACTGCCAATCCATGCATCTACTTCATTATGTAATACCAGAAATACAGCTTAGAAACATAGATAATCTCGAACCTTACATTTCTTCCACACAAAAAATGTTCTCCCTCGTGATCTATACAATAAGAAGGCAACGAAAAGGGTAACAAAATAAACGAACTGTACCTGGAACGGAGAAACATCAAACATAGCTAATGGAGAAGCCATGGGCAGTAGAGGCGAACCAGGTGCAAGATGCTGGATTGGAGGTAAGTTGGTGGGCATGCGTTGAGCTGAAACCATATTTAAATTCTTCTGATCCCCTTCAACACCCAAAGAAGGTCCAGGGCTATGCTTCCAGTCAGGCTGTTTTCCAGATGGAATATAAGTAGCACCCATGAAACTCAAGCCAACTTGCCCGAACTGTCCAACAGGAGCAAAGTGATTGTATACAACCATGTGCGGAGGACCTTGAACTCCTGGGATACCCCCAGGACTTATGAACGGACCAGTAAAACCAGCAGGAGGCCCGTAGAATGAATCGACACCAGAATGGCACTGTTTCCAGGATCCAAGAGGGCCAGGTGCTGGTGCACTGCTTTTTTGTGTTTGAGCTTGGGTGGTGGATACTGACTCGTCATGCGGTCCAAAAGTAAAGACAGGACCTCCCAACATAGGATTGATCTCATAAAAGGGAAATTGGGAAGGTGAACCTCCGGGGAAATGTGAAAGCATCTGGCTTGAAGAATTCTGTGGACTCGGCAAAGATGGCCACAGGGAAATTGGGGGGGTCTCAACTGACAAATCTGCAGGAAGGGCTACAGTAAGAGAGTCATCCGCCCTTGTTTTGCTAGCAAATTGCTGATTACCAGCAGAGCCTGTAATACAGTAATGCAGTAATCAACAAAGTCGTATAACCAAAAGTACAAACAAAATAAAAGGTAAAACTTCTCATCGTAATTGCATCACAGCTTCCAGTACCTGCTATTATAACGTTAATATCTCCACCGCCAAAATTGTTGGTATCAGTAACTGGAACAGAGCTCGTGCCAAGCCCATTAGTGACTATCTCATCACTACTGATAGCTGCAACAGCAACGGCAGAAGCAGCTGCCTCAGCTTCAGCTTCACTATCTTCAATACGTGTACGAGATTCAGAATGATGTTTCTCTTTCTCAAAGAAAAGATGACAATCATTCTCCGCACCAGAAAGCTTGTGAGGAATTTGCATGTCTGAGTGACAGAGACCTGTGGGGCCAATCCCAAGCAAAGTGGAACAGCTATCAGGAGGAAGAACTGTTGGAGATGTGACTGCACCTGTATACATGATTTTTAAAAAAAAATTAGAATTAATGAAAGTAAACTCCTAAAATCAGTACCTCCGATACTCACCAAACTGAATTTTCTCCCCCGCAAGCAGAGAACTGATTGGATTAGCAGCAGAAGAAAATGATCTATCTATTGCTAAGATAGATGAGGATGGCACATTAGGATCACCAGCTAAGCTAGAATGATCTCCTACCGGAGGATGTAAATCAAACTGCGCAGGCTTCATAGCCTCATCAAGTTGGGTCTGTGTCAGGGCCATAACCTGCCAATGAATCTAATCAGTTTAAAATTATATCAGATATTACAACATATAAACAAGTAAAAGCACATTAGAAGTACAACTCTAAGTAGCAAGTACAGTCAACTTGAACTTAGATAAAGGTTCAACACTTCTTGCGCTCAAATTGAAATAAACATGAAGCATCGATAGAATAGAGGTCTTCTAACATAGTAACAACAATATTAAAATTGCCTATAGATCCACAAAAGTAAGCAATGAACAAATATCGGTAGACAAGGTCAATATCAAAATCCCATATTTACATCCAGAAATATATGCAATTTACAACAATAAAACTCAACCAAGGTCTCCGTTTCCACCCCGGTACCTGTTGGTTTATACGTGAATTGCCCCAGGAAGGAAAAGATGATGTAACATTATCCAAAATATCATTCTTCTTATCAAACATCAAGCTTGACTCGAGATTTCTTCCATCACTAGTTGCCAAGGCAGGGCCACTCGTCTGGATAGACCTGTAAAATAATATAAAATATTTGTTCAGATCTGAAAGATGACAATGCATGAAAGTTCTTTCATAATGAATACCAACCTAGCAGTATGTGATCGCTCGGTCTGGGAATCAGATTTCAGAGCAGGAGTCCCAATTGGGGCCAATGGTTGAGAGACTATTGAGGAACTAAGTGCACTTGACACCACAATATTTCCCGAACCACGTCCTCCTCCATCAGCAGCAACAAAATCAGATCGAGTTCTCTTCACTGTTTCTGCGACCTTGGCAGCATAAACTTTGCTTGAATTGACAGAGGACAATGCAATTTTCGAAGTAGATCGACTTTTTCGTGGGATCTAAAGAAGTACTCATCAAATTTATTAAATTTTAAACTTGTAATAACAAAAATAAATAAAAAGGAAAGGAGAACGTATAAACCTTTGAATTGTGGGACTTTGCCTTTATCTCTTTCTCTCTTTGTTCACGCCTATCATTCAGCATCTGCCTTTTAGATCGTACCTCAATGAAATCATCCTCATCACTGGGAGCTTCTATGCCAGGTTGCTCAAATACACGTATGATGCCACTCTGCATGGGGGCATCAACATCCTCCCCAGAACAAATATTCTTTCTGAAGTTACTTTCCCCATAATATTGGCTTCCCTGGCTCTTGCCCAAATACTCTTTCTTCACTCCCTTTTCAGACCTATTGCCAGCATCAAGCTCAAGAGAAGTACTTGCCCCAGAGCTTAATCCTTCAGGCTCTAAGGCTCTTTTTGATGGCTTATTAGATACAAAGACCTTCCTAGTCCCATTTCTGGCAGAATTGACAGCAGTTCTTCCACTAACAGTTGGCTTATCGTCTACCTCTACATGGTTAGAAGAAACTTGACTACTAGACAACTTTTTATCCACAGTTTCCCGAACACGAAACTCAGTACGTGGAATATTGCGCCTAGGCCGCCTCTGGAATCCACCAGTATCTAAGCGAGTAGATTCGGAACCTGGGAATGGCAATCTAGATCCAGAATTTTTTACTGTAAAGACATATTTTTTCCCTCTTCCACCAGGAAACTGACCACGAGCTTTTAACCCGCTCAAACCTTTATCTCTTGATACAGAATCAAGTGATCCCATCCCATCCTGAGCTCGACCTTCAGATTCTTTCCCCCTTGATACCACATAATGATTGTCTGAAGTTGAAACATGGTGTCTTTGATGTTCTGCTTGAAACCCTGGTTCAGATCTGGAATTGCTCTCATCAATGCAAGAACCTGCAGTTTGATACTGCTGAGCCATAACTTGGCTTTCTATGCTTTCAGTTAATGGTAATGACTTTGACTCCCCTGATGAGTTCACATTCAAAGATCTTGACACAAGGCCTTGTTGATTATCCATCAAAAGAGGCAACACATCATTTTTCCGAGAATTATGAGCACAGGTTTCCTGAGAAGTTTGAATGGGCAGAGCATCTCCTGGGTTCTTATTTAAAGGAAAACCAGTTTGAACAGCGGGTGGAACAAATGTCAGTGGTTGAGGAGCCAAAGGCAGTACACCTTGGGAGACAGAAGAGGTATACCTTAGCTGCCCAAACTGGAATAGAGGGGGCTGTGATGAATGCATGTGAGTCATAGATGGGGTCATCTGAGGATGCAAATGAAGAGGCATCTGTATAGAACCTATCTGTATGGCTGGTACAGGAGATGGAATGAGAGAAGGACCTGAGAATAA